TTCACTTGAAACACAACCAATCAGTTTCCTGTCAATGCAACACCCCGCTTTATACGCAGGGCAGCGAAGAGCAAAAATGTAAAAAAAAAAAACGTGCATCCGTTCCACCTACGAAGATTATCTATATATTTATACATACATAGACATGGTATGGTAAATATATATATATGTGAAGAGGACAGAGTACTTTGTAGATTGACATTTCACTTGAAACACAACCAATCAGTTTCCTGTCAATGCATAATGCAACACCCCGTTTTTAACGCACTGGCCAGATGAAAGTTGCGCTTCTTGACATTGAAACTCATGACAACCCTATCCCCCTAGAATCCTACACCATGAGACAAGGGAAGGTGTGGGCGGTCATTTGTCACCCCGGAAAGCCTTTTATTATTGTCAATTTAAAACGGTGTGATAATTGACCGTCCCACACCTGCCACGAAAATCAGACTTGTTAATTCGATCCGCCGCTGACCTCAGAGTGTTTTGTAAGAAGACTAACAAGCGTAAACTTTTGTCTGCCCGAAGTATATACACTTCAAACTGACTCGCCACATCGCTAAAATTTGCTAAAATCTCATATCATAAGTCCCGTCCCCCTAAAATATGGAAAGTTGCTGGCCTGAAAAACCTGAAAAGTGATTTCGTCAAGTGACTGCACCCTTTCTGGACACCTTTCGGACTGGCTTCCTTTCTGTTCAACGCTGGACTTTCCAAAAAAGCCGTGTGGACATGTGTGGACCAGGTCCGCAGAGGACTTGTGGATAACGGAAAGTTCGGGGCCTCTTCTCCACATAGCTCACCAGCCACTCAATGGCCAAACCACGCAAGCCAGACTCGCAGGCCTGGCATGGAAGCAAACCAATGTGCGAAACATGGGGTATGAGGATGTGTGAGGTGTTGCTGGTCGAATTCAGCAGCCCCGAATTATGGTTTTAGGTTGCTGGTCAAACCAAATGACACAAAATGGCTAAAACGGTGGTCCACCACCCGCACTGAGCCAAACCACTGGGAGCGTCCCCGAGTCTCGTCGTCTGCGCCCCACCACTGACGCCAAACCACCGCCTCTCGCGTCCGGGCGACGGTCGCCATGAACTTGGCGGGCTCCAAGTTCTGCGCCAGCTGTGCCTGCCACGCGCTGCCGCACTCTCTCGTTCATTCGGGGTCGGCTGAGGACGCGACGCTAAAAACCGGTCGGGTTCAGGATGTGTTCTTAAGCAAAAAGCAAGGCTCCACTTTGATCCAATAAGTTGCTTTGATCCAATAAATGGTCAAACAGTCCATGGACTCTTCGGGCCTTGAAGAAGTCCGGCTCGACAGTTGCAACATCGGTGAAGGCCTACCACAATCCCCACGGAGAGATGGTTGTGGCTCGAACCATGTTCCGCCGCCAACAATGCTGTTCATTCACTCATCTCACGAGTGAGCGAGCGAGTGGGGCTATGGTGGGGAGCATGAAGTGAAAGGAATGCAGGCCACATGAAGTGAACAGATTCAGCAATCCACAAAACACCAGCAGATTGCCTACTAGAGTTCATAAAGTCAAGAACTTCCCTTCTAGCAGAAGTTCCACCGATGGAGCCCAAGTCGCCTGAATGCATTCTTGCAGCAAATCCTCCTCTTTGGCTTGTGCCAGTGCGGTCAGGACCTCAGTCAGAGGGTCAGTGACTAGTCGAATCCATCTCGAATGACGCTCCTGGTGCCATTCAAATGAGGTTGCTGAGGGTGGGAGGGGTCAGACTCGCCGATGGCTGGGGACTCGGGAATCCTTTCGAAAAAACGGCAGGTGTTGGTTTCGTGTGTGTGTCTTCTTGGTGGCCCAAAAAACAAAAACTGGAGCCAAAAAGACCTGCTCTCCCCCCACGAACGCCTGTGGTAGACATGTCCCGCCCATGTGGTGGTCGACTAACCTGCAGAATCTCTTCATGTCGCGGCGTCGAAATCTGGTAGCGACCGTTCTGCGACAAACCTGGCACCGTTCTGAACAAAAGGAAAGTCAGTCAGAAGGACCGGAGGATGACCTAAGAATTGTCCAACCAGCTGAACTGTCCAACAATTTCACCAATCTCTCACAACCACGATCACACCAATGAGCAAGAGCATCTCAGCAAGTCTGGGAAGCATGAAGTCTCACAACGAGAAAATATTGTTTTCCTCTTTAGTCTTCCGACAATCGTGCTTCTTTCGCGGGGCCATATGTCATATGGAAAGTCATCATGTCATGTCATCTCACAATCATGTCCTTTTTGTATAGAGGGGTCCATTTCAAACCGCATATCTATTTGTTCACTTGGGGAGATCCCCTCTAATTATTAATCAACCAACCAATAGTATAAGGCCATCAACTCACCAACCGGGTTCGTTGATTGAAATGCAAACGATTTAGTGTGACACTCCGAGTCACCAATAGACGAAGTGGAAAACCACCTGTTTGTAGTGGAAAACCGCGTCATCCACGGGCTATTCGACTTACTGAGCCATTCTGAGCCGCACAGTGATGCTCTTTCATCTGCAAGTGATGCTCTTTCTGTCCCTGGAGTTTGGAAGGATCTTAGAGGACATGATGGGTCCTGGAAAAGGTTGCTAGCACAGCAACGAAGATCGAGATTACAAAATATTTCGTGCATCTTTGCACTTGACCTGCCGCGAAATCGAGAATTCAGCAGCTTCGGCCGAAGCAGAATCTCAGTGCAACATAGTGCAACGAGGGTGTATAGCGGTATAGCGCTAAAAACAACACCCAACTGTCCAACTTGTGAGACTTTAGGCATCGCTCGTCACGGGGCATGGCTAGGCTCCTTGTAAGGTATCTCGCATCGGGTTGTTGCTGCCATGCCAAGACCTGGACAATGTCGATGCGTGGGTGGCGACCGGGGGGCCAGTGGCAAAAAAAAACAGCATTGCCACGGTCAGCACGTGCCTCTTCTGCCCAGAGCTATAGCCCTTACCTTTCCCCTTGTCGCGTCCCCATCTCCCTGGCAGAAGGAGGAAGATAGCCGCTGCATGGCAGACACCAGAGTTGCACGTTAAAGCTTGAGAGTCCTAAGCAACGTGACAACGCAAACGCCCTGACACGCACTGCAACTGCAAAGGCACCTCTCTTACCTTCCGGCCCGTTGTTCGTGCCTTCCTGGCCACAACACAGAGCCAAATAGCATGGACATGGACAATGCTTTCAACCCTTCCCTTCCATACATGCTTTGAAAAGCCTCTTTGTCCCGTCCATCCACCATCGCGGTCAACACATGCACACCACACAGGCCCACACCGTGCCTCTCGTGCCGGCTGAAAAGTCAGCACGGTCTGTGTCTGGACTTTTCGCCCATCACCCCGGAGCCAGTGATTCACATACTCCCGGTGGGGGTCCTGGAGCCCAAAAACCACGGGTCTCCCGTCGTTCCGTCGTTCCGAACAGCCGCGGGAGCACGACCATCACGTCGGGACCCATCACCAGGTCGCCTACAGCTTCCTCCGCCGCCGGCGACCCGACTCTGAGGGTGGGCGACCGATGCCAAATGTGACTGATTCAACAAGCGACCGGTGCAGTCAGGCAGCATAGTCTTGCAGCTGCTTCCTGCCAGCTGATGGGAGCTTGCAACAAAAAAATACAAAAAAGGAGACCTCCAGGGTCTTCGGAAGACCAAACGAAATCAGGGACCAGGCCCTGTTGGCCCACAAAAACACACCCCAACGCTCCACACAGAACGCCGCACCTCGTGTTGAACTTGTTGATCCGCTGTCCTGTGAGGCCCGCAGCAGCCACCTGGCGGTCTATGGCCATCGCCGAGAGAACGCCCCACCCCGGGATCGCGCTAGCCTGGTTTCCAAATCATCGAAGCGGTGCCCGGCGGTGCCCGGCGGTGCCCTGGTCTTTGCGGCCTTTTTGTTGCTGGGACTGAGGTGTTCACGCTGCGATGCTCCCTCTGTGTAGGGAGCTGTTCATGCAGCGTTCGTCCCTTCAGTGTGGTTCGGTGGTTGATGCTACACATCTCTCACTGGATCAAATCATCACGTTCAAAAACCCACGGTCTTGTGACAATAACATGCGCCGGGGACCCAATTCCCCCAGTTGGAGCAGGGATCATAGTCCAAGAGCAGCTCCTCAAAGTGGGCTGCACCATGACGCCAATCCACACCCAGGTCAAAGATCAGAAAACTAGCCTTAGAGACTGCATGTGTCTGCTGGAACAGCTGCTACTTCTAGGGTCAATTTACGACAGCCGTTACCTGCTGACGTGTATGTTTAGAATTGGTGTCCAAGTCTTCTCAATGTCCCTCAATGTCCCTCAATCGTGAAATCGTTTGCCTAGCTGCGACATTTTGTCTGCCACGATTGCTCATAAAGCCTGTGGCCTTCAGCTCACGCATGTTGGCATCCACCAGCTGGTCGCCAGTTGTTCCTTCCTTCCACCTGTGGCAGGGTCGACACTATCTAGATTCCTAGATGAGTTCAATCTTTGGTTGGCAAACAATTTGCTCATCAGCCCCACACCTTTGCAGCTTGTCCTTGGAGCCCCTCCATGCAGTCCTGTCACTGTCGCTTCCTTGCCATAGAAATGACGGGTAAAACACGCTAGACCACAGCACAATATAGACCAACCACTGGCCTGTCTTTATCCATAGTCGCAACATACTTTGCCTTCTGCTAATCGAAACTTGGCCTTCTGCTTTTTTGCTTCCCTCAAAACTTCTCCTGTCTCCTGTGATGCCGCCATGTAGAAAGATTTTATCTCCTTGGAGGCCAGAGGTGAAATCAAACCAACCTATCAAACCAATGCAATCAACACAACTTCATCCATGTATGCAAATGTAAGATTCCCTGACTCCAGGCCATGTAGATGAAAAAGTCCCGCCAAGTGAGCTCAAATACAAGCCTGTCAGAAAGCAGCCACGTGCATTCACTCATGCCAGCTCCATAAGCAGATGCACAAATCCTTATCTGTGCCAAGTCTCCAGTAGGTGGACTTGTTCTGGATTCTCCTTTCCGTCTCATAGCGCTTCGCCTCCGCAAAAAGTGGTGCGATTCCACCAAGTGTCCTCTTGCCACAGTCGCCTTTATCAAGCTCTTTCGTACATATTCATATTCCCTTCTCCAGTTTCAATTTGGTTCTTTCATCACAGCTGTGGCAGAACCCGCCTCAGCCCAAATGCGGCGCGGGGAAATGCAGCCGAGGGCCAGCCAAGGACTGAGCTTGGACGAGAAGCCTTCACCCAGCATGCCATTCCTGAAAAAAAAAGAACGGGCAGAAAATCGCTTTCATGGATCCAATAATTCACCGGTCTTTTTGCTTGTTTTCACCAGCTGGGTGGATCTGGCACGGTGTCCAGCCGAACAGCTTGTTTGAAAGTAAAAAACCACCAGGTGAGGAGGACCCAAGTGGCCGAATGTCAAAGTAATCTTTCAGGTGGTTATCATCGAACATCCACTTTTGCAGCCTGGCCAAAGCCTCGGCGAAGGACGAGAAAGCAGACGAGGGAACCCTGTTCCGACGTAGGGACGCCGACGTAGGAATGCCCATATTCTCCAAGACAGACGCCAAAGCCAAAGCAAGAAAGCAAGAAAGCAAGCTGGCAGTTGGATCTTTGGGGGAGTTGATCCAAAAGCTGGAAGGAACATCATGATTTCAATGACCGCCCGCATGTGATTGGCTTGGGAAGGGCAGCATGCTCGTTCTCTGGGACTCCCTGACTGCATCCTCTCCGCCTTGAAAGGGCAGCACGCCTCGAGTCAGTCCCGTGCTCCGTGCTCTTCCTCCGTGTCTTCACCGGTTTGGCCCGTTTGGACGCAGAAAGGCCGGGAGAATGATGCGTGGGACCGGCGTGGTCGTTTGGCTCATTGCCGGTGTTTTTCCAAGGAGTGCATGCTGGGAATGGTCGGGAATGTAATGGTCACACACGCCCATTCGTCGGTACCAAAAGCATAGTGCTTCTATTGGGGGAATGGCAAAGGTCTCCAGTCGGGCCTCTGGGATCATCGCGTAGAGCTTCTTCCACTTCTTCATTCTCATAGCCCAGTTGCTGAAGCGTGGGAAGAAAGCCTTAGATTAGATCTTCGGAAAAAACATCACATGTCAACAAAAGAGATCGAACGCAAATGGAACAGAACTTCTGATCTTTGCATCTTCGACTCTGAAAAAACTCTTTCTCTTTTTTCCAGCTTCAGAGCCCAGACACTCAGTGCCTCCTTCAGTTCTCCCAAGTTGGGCACTGGCGGCAACTGCTTTGGCGCACTCACAGGCGCACGGATGTGTCCCCGGCCTTCGGCCTGGCCAGGCATGTGCGAGGCAAGCCAGACCCCCAACGGCTAGCCAGACCCGTTGGGGTTCCGTGGGCTCCGTTGGGCGACCCGGGGTCTCTCTATTGAAAAACACACGGTCCGCATGTGCTTCACCACGTCCTTTGCCACTTGAGGACAGGTATCTTTGGCCTTTCTTTGGCAAGAAAGGAAAAGGCTAAGCTCGATTGCCAATCGCTCGCTTCTTCATTCTCCTCCAAATAAGTGGAAACTGCATGTAAGCCCTTTCTCCTGTCCGGCCTTGTTCTTGAAGGATGTGAACAGCAAGGGCGTGCTGGCAGGGTTCTGCCCGCACTCCTATTGAAATGAATCAAGTTCTTCAATCCTTCCATCTCTCAGCAAGAACGAAAAATGAGTGATGATAGATGACATCTTTCTTCGGGCGGATGACTGATCAAATCGTCCAAACTATCGTGTCTGTCTTTGTGACGAAGACGCCAAAATTGTCCTTCAAACGATATGACTGTTCAAGTATCGTTGGATCAATCCAGCCGCTAGCCTCGGGCATGTAAAGTGTGCCACCCCAAACCGATCGTAGCTCAGCACCCGCTTTCAAGCGCTTGGACACCAAATGCTCCTGTGAGAGGTCGAGGATTGGTGGCTTGAAGGGGTTGGTGGCTTCTAGACTCTTCAAGTATCGCATACAGTGTAGAAGGTCTCCCCAAGAGTGTGCGATCCCCCAAGCAATTGAAGCAAACCGGACCGCTGACACCGGTGAACTCTGCTGTGGTACCACACGGAACTGCGGCACATCGGGGGGTGCATCGTGCGGAGGGGACCCGGTCACGTCCAACAGGAGAGCCCCAGGAGAACTCGCTGCCAGTCCTCTTGCTGTTCTTCACTGCAGAAGCCCTGAAGGCCGAGCCAGTCAGCTATGGGGTTTTCTTGCATAAAGGTGGCCCCAAACAAGCGAGGTCCCACAAAGGCGCAATGTTTGACCAAAACCGTGTAAAGTAGAAACTTTAGGTTTCTTGTTAGCATGACTGACACCATGCAGAGTGACAGTGGCACTGACAGTCACATCGTGGAGGGTGATAGATAGTGACAGTCTGAATTCCCACAAAAGAGGCTGTGCTGCAACTAAGGCACTTTCGTGACAGTAACGCTGGCACAGCTCTCAGCAAGCTTCGGAATCACCTGAAGCATCTCAAGATTGCTCAAGACTCAAGACTCAAGAGGGACATCTAGCTTGAACCCAGTCAAGCTTTTGCTACAAGAAAGCAGGCAAAAGTGGCTTTCAACTTGATCTTCCTGTAGAAAGATTCCAAATCCCATGATCGGTTTGCTGCTGCCTGGCAGCGGATCCGCCGTTTCTCTGCGCCGTGGAACCCCCGCCTCCTGTGGAGGACCCAGAGCAACAGCGAGTCCAGACCCTCGCTGCTCCAGTTTGTGGCGCAAGCACTGCACACTCTCCACCAGGAAACGAGCACGACGAGCGCTGCTCTTCCGAGCACCTGATGACAACTCCAGACTGGACCACTGGGCCGGAAAGTCCAGACGCAGCCCGCGCCGGCAACCCGGCTATCTAAGGTCGAGCCAGGTTGGGGGAAGAAAACAAGCTGCACTCCCTGCCTGCCAAGGTTGGGGTGTTGAACTTCTCTGGATCAAAGACATAGATCGGCAAGAATGATTGAGCTCCCTCAGTTGCTGCCTCAGGGCACTTGATCCATTGCGTGAAAGAGAAAAGGAGAAACTCTATGGAAGAGGCCTGCTACGCCGTTCGTTGGGTATGTTGAGGATGTAGACCAACTCTGCAACTAGCGTAGAACTCACTCTGGCCGTGCCTTCCTTCGAACTACGACGGTTTTCCTACATCGCTACTCTACGCTGCACGAAGCATCGACCGTGGCCTCTGGGAGTTCTTCGGCCGTCACGTGCCGTCACGGTGCCGTACGTTACGTGGACGCAGATGGTCAACAAAAACCTTCCCTGAATGGTCCGGCTGGGACGTCCGGACGTCTCCCATAGACTTTCTGCTTCCAAACCCAGCCTTCAAAGCCAAGTTGTCATCCAGGCGAAGATCACACCTTCGAAGAAGTCAGGCACTCTAAGACTAAAGGACTTTGATTCAAAACTGCACTCTGCCCCAAGCACATCGCTTCCGCACAGAATGGCTTCTCCAGAGTCATCTTCCGCATGTGCGGAAGGTGTTTGCTGGCGGTCTGACTCTTCCGCGTGGCGCCTGAGCCACCAAGCAGATCCACGGGCGCCGGCACGAGCCATGATGGCAAGCTGCGGCGCGCAGCGTGAGGTTCTTCGGATTGATCAGAGAAGAAAAAGCCAAATGCACCTGGAGTCCTTCGTCCAAAGCACTGGGAGTCCTTCGAACACGTATATGAACCGTCAGTCTGAAGGCTTTGTTCAAAGGAAATCTGATCGGAATCCGGAATTAAGAAAGTGAAGGGGCACAAACTGTGGGACTTGAAAAGCTCTCAAAGGTGCCAGGTAAAGTGGCACCTCTTTCTGCTTGACCGACACTAGCTGCTTGGGCACGCACTTGCACGAGAACACCCACGGTGGAGAGAAGCGGCGCCCATGCTGGCATAGAAACGGATGAATTCAAAATGTGCACTACAGCAGCAAGAGCGTATGTCCTCATGAATCTACAAGCAAAGCCAGAAGATCTGAGCAGTCTGAAAGCCGAATCTGCAAAAAGGTTCTGTGAACAAAACGCAGGGAATGGGGATTTGTTGTGGTTGAGGTTTGGAATCACTAGCAAAACAGCATCTGGCCTTTCTTTTCAGTCTCCGTCACAATCTCACAGACCAGCAGGAAGGTCGCAACTTTATGCTTGACCTTCAAAAGGATGCTGCTTCGCAAGAAGATTTGGAATAGATTGGAAATGGAAGAGCTGCACAGGTGGATGTGGTCAACTTGGGCACGTAAAGCTTTCTACCAGTGAATACGCTCTCTCACTCTCCAATTACTAGCGAAGCCTGTGGAGATGCCAATCCATTCTGGATGATCTGTCCGAGCCTCAAGTGACACTCTGACGAGGACCCTAAGACGGAAGGCTTCTGGCCAAAGTATCTTGGATCTTCCCAAGGCTCTAAGGAGATGACTGCTGCCTCGCTTCCACAATCTGCTCTTTGAGCGTGGGAACACAGTCCTACTGCAAGGAAAAAGAGAAAACACATCATCTTGACGAAAACAAAATGACCCAGGAGTCACATAGGGGTGCCTATTGGAGACATGGCGTGCGCAGAACATGCACTCAGTGGATGGGACCCAAAAAAGACCAACTCCATGTGACTCCTGGACTAAGCTTCTTCTTGTCTCGTGAAAACTCTCCAGGTCCCACTTCTCGCTCCTTCAAGAGTCGCAGCGCAGACTCACAGCTCTCCACAGAAGTGGCTGTGCTGGTATCTGCCTGGCGCTGGTATCTGTGGCGTGGAGCCTGATGGGTATGGTTTCGTGTGGAGCCCGATTTCTGGACCAGATTGGACAAAGGGTAGTGAAGTGTCGATCGAACCAAACAAATGCCTCATAGGCGGTCTTCATTCTGAGCAAAAACAGACATCAGGAACAGAAGGAGACACACAAATGTCTAACAGACAAGCCAAGGGCCAAACTCCAAAACAACAAAATACCCGTGGGAGCACACGTCTGTTATCCTTCTTCCACAGCTGCTTCCTTCGGCATCACTTTCTGTCAGCTTGCGCGGGATCTTTGGGGCCCCGCCATTCTGAAGACCTGTGGCAGCAAGGCAGGCCTTGATGCTTGCAGACGGCTGAAGACGATCCAATGCCTTCGTCCAAACCGTAGAAAAACCGTTTCTCAACTGTCCAGTCACATCGTCACAAGATACCAGCAGCAAGCCAGCAGCAGACCAGCAGCAAACCAGCAACAGACCAACAGCAAAACAGCAGCAAACCAGCAACAGACCACCAAGCAGCAGCTGCAGCACCAAGCAGCAGCAGCAGCAGCAGCAAAGCTCCGAACCAAACTCATCCAGCGGCGTTCGCGGGGCATGAGACCGACACCATCGGGGAAGACATATCCCTCATTGGCCCTGACATCGACCAGCCCCGGCCCCAACAAACTATATAAATATTATATATATTTTGTGGTCATAGACTCGGGTTGTCAAGGATTGTTAAGTATTCTGCCCTCATCCGAATTCCTTTGTTGAGAGAAATGGTTCGTCCGAGGGGCCAGGAAAGATTCGATCCCGGAGGGGAGATGGGGGGGCAAACACTAACGACATTTTGAAAATCCAAAAAAATCAGGTCACTGAGGAGAATGCCGCTCCTAAGCTAAAGCTTATCAAACTCAAGGTTGCCTAGCAACCTTTCGTCACTTGGATACTGGTATCGGGGTATCATTGATACTTGGTTCTGGGCATCATTGATACTTGGATACTGGTATCGGGGTAATCATTGGTACTTGGTTCTGGGTATCGTTGATACCTGGGTTGCTGTTTCATTGATACTAGGTTGTGGGTATCGTTCACACTTGGATACTGGTATCTGGGTATACTTGATACTGGGCTCTGGGTATCGTTGATACTTGGATATCGGTATCTGGGAACCATTGATACTAGGTGGTGGGTATCGTTGACAGTTAGATACTGGTATCTGGGTATCATTGATACTAGGGTTGGGCATCCGCGGAAATTCATGCAATATGTGAAAATTACTCTTGGATGACTCACCCACAAAACATCTCAAGCGCCACATTTTTTTTCATCGATGAAGCTCACATGTATCCTGCATCCCTCAACTTCTGCTGATCCTCTTGAAAGAGCTTGGCGATGAAACGCCAACTATCACTGGCTGTACTCCTCAGGACCCAGTCTGCTGGCTCCTCACGAAGAAGCTTCAACGCCATGTTGGTCTCTTCGTCGCTCTCTGGGAGATACCCCATGGGTCCTGCCTCTGCCACCTTGAGGAGATAGTCCCTTCATCCAATTTCTTTTTTATTGGTTGCACCCTCCGCTTGTACCACTGCTCAACCCGCTTGATGACCGCATCAGTGCCTCTCTGACGTGCCCTGGAGACGTTTTCCAGTATCAAGTCCCAGGGCGGAAGTTGCCCCCTGCGCGGATGTAGTAGTGCTTAATTACCTCGTCCATGTCATCTTCCGCAAGAACCTTCTTCAGCATCCGGAAGTCGTTTCCGTGCTTTGCCACCTCCTTCACCACAAACGTGAAGTCTTCGAAAGGTAGTGGTTGCACCACCACCAGACTTGACATGTCAAACCGTTCTATGATGATGTCGGCCACGGCAGACACGCTGACCTCTAAAATGAACTTGCACGCGGCTATTGTCGTAGGTGATGTTGCGAGCGAAGGCACCGAGGGTGGAAGCAATGTCATCACAGGCATCCTACTAAATTTGTCTCCGCGGCCTTTGGTTGTGAATTGCAGGTACACCTTGACAGCACTGCCTGTTCGGCGCTTGGACGTCTCATTCACCTTTTCCGGCAAAAATTTGACGGGTAATATCGGGGCAAATCTACGGCTTGTAAGGCTTGGGGCAGCGCCTCGTTGAGCTTCAAGTCCTCACCAGGACGAACAGAAATATCAAGAGGAAGCACCCTTTTGCCATTCTTCACATGCTCACACATGAGATTGTTCAGCATGGTTGATTTCCCAATGCCTTGGGAACCACTGACCACCAAGAATGAAGGTGTGCTCAAAGCTTTACGTTGAGGTGAGTTGATGAAGTCCTTGATGTATTCCTCCTCGAGCGGCCGTGCAGGGGCGAGCTCTGTCCTTTCCAGCCTTTGCCCAGCCTTCCTCTCTGCCCTGTTCATGAAGGAGAGCTTGGAGAACCAGCACTACGACGCTCCCTGTGCTCAAGAAAGTCCAACCAATTTTGATGGTCTGCGCCGGAAAAGCCGGGTTGTGTGCGTGCATGACCGCTTGGAAGGACGAACCGGCCTGGCACAAGCCTCACAAAGATGCATCTGCAGAATGTCAAAGAAAAAGGACACTACATCGGTTCAGTCAAATTGTGCCAAACTGGCTTTGGATTGAAGGATGCTTGATATGCAAGACCAAACAGGAACCACAGCGCCTAACCTCAATCAATACATGAATTTGAAGCAAATAATTCGACATCTTTGAAGAACAACTTGGTAGAATTTGAACCTGAACCTACACATAGAAACTCTGACCACCTCAACAATTATCCCCTTCATTCAATCCAAACAACTAAGTGAAAGTTATGACCTAAAACACGCATAACAAGACCCCAGAAAAACGACAAAGGCTCAACACAAACTTTCAAGAGCCAAGAAAATTCGAGGAGAAATGATGAACCAAAACTACCCACACCCCCCATTTTACAATTTTTTGGGGGGTCGCCAAGGTCGATGGAGTCCAAACTGAGGCTCCTGCCAACCAGAAGGGTTCCCTGGTGCCAGACTTCCTCGAGGATCATCCTGAAGCGCCAGACTTCACACAGAAAAGGATTTCCACCGTTCCACTGCCCGAACGACGCGACTCCTGCCGTCGCCCAGGAGTACACGACCGGTGAATACTCCGGGTCCTTGTCGCAAACATACTCCGCCAATTTGGACACCACCTGCAGCTGAGCGAGCTCGGCGCGCGGGGGGAGCGAAAGGCGCGGGGGACGGGTCCACCGGATCCTGGATCCCCACGGGACCCCTGCTCGTGGCTGGGTGGAGAGTCTATTAGGTCCATGCGCCGAAACGACGATCATCTATTAGGCCTTCAATTTCCCAAGATAGCCAAATCACACATCTGCAAGCTGGAAGGTCAAGAGTAGTTTTTCTCCAAGCTTTTGACCAGGTCGTGGACATGGTTGTGGTCGCCAGGCAGTGGTAACATGGTCAACACACTCGACGACAACTCGTCGCTCGACTTCCGCCTCGCCAATCTTCTTCTGCATCGCTGAGGATTTCTGCGAGCGCACCGTGCGTTTGGTGCGTGCCAAAGGCTTTCAGAACGCGATTTCTTCACCCCCTCCATCCCTCAGACTCGTTCGACTCGTTCGACTCGGCCGTTCCAAGGAACTGCCAGGAACCGTTCTCCAAAGCATTTGAGGACATGAAAATCTGCGCATGGCTCCTCCTGCTCATATCGCCGCAGGAGCTCATTGGCAACCTCACCAGAGAAGGAAAAGAATTCAGTCTCAACCGCTGCAGCGCATTTCTCTTGGCAAACACAAATCGTCAAGCACTCTGTTGACTTCTGGCAGCTAGCAGCTCTACCAAACCAGCCTCCTGCTTGTGAGCGTCAGATATCCTTTTCCACA